AAATCTTATTTAAACTGAAATCGTTCTCCCAGGTTTATGTAAGGTATGAGTATAATTTAGAGTATGTAATGTGTCTTTTCTAATAAGATTTTCAAGATTAGGTTTATATCATCAGCAAGATATACGGCTTAGGCGTAACGTTTCCATCGTTACCTGTCTCAAATAAAGTACATCGCAGAAACGCGCGTCCACGTGCTGAACGTAAGGCCCCTGAGAATGCATTTAGCTCGTATCCCTTTTTGGATGCAGAACTGCGGAACTAGCTTCGCTATGTTTCACGTTTCTATCAGCGAGTTTATACGTGGCACCCACGCAAATCCAAATAACGACATTGTAATACGAGCGATGGGACGTGCTGTGTAAGTGGCATGTTGGATCTCGTATTAAATTGTATACTGTGGGTCATCGTACCGGGTCGGGAGAGACGTGAATCGCTTTGCTCACGTTCTCGTTATCATCGCGGAAGCATAAATCGTCGTTTCCCCGTCGTGAACTTTCGTTCTCGAATCTGGATCAGTGCCGATTATTTTTTTGCGCATTCGGTGCGCGTTTCAATACGTTCGGTATGTCCAAAGGCGCCGCCAATTTCAATTTCCACGACGCAATCTCACGGTATTGCGGAAAATAGGAGAAATCCGGCGAAAGTAATACGGAGTCTGTCGCGACGTGCGTTGTAATAATGCAATATGTAATAATAAGGAGACGATAATGACGCTTCACGCGTTTTGTGGGTGCACTTTGCGGTGGCTGTGCGATATAACGTATGTACGCAATCCATTTTCGCTCCTTTAGCTACGCTTCTAAATCACGCAGCTCTAAGTTTATGACGAAGAAACGAGTTAATTTGTCCTGTGCAAGAACGGAGTCTCGTAAATTTAGCATGGTTGCGCGCTGAATTGTCAATAAGAAATGTAATCTGTACAATGTAGTAATAATAATAATATTTTTATGGAGCAAATTTGAAAACGGGTGGAAGATTATTTCTTGAAATTGAACTATCAAATTCATAATATCAAATTACACACAATTTGAGTTATTTTTAATAATTTGTATAGATCACCATGTTGTTCTTACTCAATATGTCGTTAATTTACCTACAACTGAGTTAAATAATTTATTAGGTGTTGGAATTAATTCGTAGCGTTTTACAAGTGATGGGAAGTACTTTCATTAATGTATTTTTTAATGCTCATGTGAAATAAATAACATTCTTTCATTAAAAAACGCTACGAATTAATTCCAACACCTAATAATTCAAGAAAATATATTTAATTGGACTGAAAATTTAATTTATTATTAACTAAATCCTTGATATATGTTTACTTTGAAACTAAGCCATTCAATCACAGAAATGGATTGATTTGTATTTTGATGTGAAGTTAAAAATAACAAAATATTATTTAACTCAAAGGATTACTATCACTTCTTTTTCTATTTCATAGTATAGAGATCTTTTAAAGTAGAATATAATAAATAAGTTAAAAAATATTTATTTCAAAAATTAATACATATTTCGATCTTAACTGAGAAACTATAAAAGAAATGTAAAAGACTCTCGTAGATCGCGTCATGAAAAAGCAGCCAATTAACGTGCCAAACATTGCGCAAGTCAAAGTCGAAGACGTAAAACTACGCGAATAACGCGATCGCGATGTTCCCACCGTCGATCACCCATTCGAAACTGTATCTCGTGATTGTTTCATTGTCGCATTGAACGCGGGTGGTCTCGCCTTTCGCGAGAGCGAGCGATGCAGCCGAGGGCACCATAATGCATCGTCGCCTTCGCTCGTCGCGGGTGTCGTCGCAGTTTGTCGTACATACGTTGAGATGGCAAGAAACGATGGCGCAATTATTCCTCGCCGCTGCCTCTAACTCTCTCTCTCTCTCTCTCTCTCTCTTTTCTTTGCCATGCTTTTTCCTTGGCTCGTGTATGTCACGAGCCGAGCCGTAATTGTTTTAACGTTTTAATAACCGCGCCGCGCCGGGTCGCCGAAATACGCCCGTCGCCTTCACGTAAATATAGTGAAATGAAACACCGTGCCGGATTGTCAACCGCCATTGCGCCAGATACTATCGTAACTCGTATGTACTCGGTATGTACAAACAAAGTAACATTTTACAGTTTTGAATTAATTTCATCGTGTCATTTCAACCAGTAAATTCATTCCGTAACTACATTCCATTCTTTTCTGTCACAACAGTTATTTAATCGACGTTTACAAAATTCAGCACTTTTAAAATTCGTATAAAATTAATTTTTAATATACCTACTGGTTATATTTTCGATTGAGTATTATATTTTTTATGATTTAGCACTTTCAAAAATTAATTTTTTTATACACTTATACAAATTATAGTTTTTGATTGTTATTATAATTTAGCACTTTTGAAAATTTGTACAAAATTCTATGTTGAATTTATATAGGGTAACTTATATAGGGCAAATACGCCGCGCTGGGATTTACGCCGCAGAAGTCAGAAAAAATAGAAGGAATTGGGGTAATTTTCCCGCAACTACTCTTTCTGTTATGTTAGTATAGTGTTACAATTTCAGTTTCTTACTATTAATATTAATGAAATTATTGTGAGTTGAATCGATGTATCACTCTGTTAAGTAGCACCATAAATTATAATCTACATAAAATAATTACTGTAGGACGTGCAAAAGACTTAGTGATTATTTAGTGATACATGAGTGTAGAGGAATAATAAAGCAACAAAATACAAGTACTTTGCTCTTGTATTCTTTGTTTAATTTGTTGTCTTGTATATCCTACTTGTTTGGGATACACGGAATTTTTAGCAGGCGGAATTTATGCCCAAAGCATTCAAAGTGCGCAGATTGAATTCAGTGCACTAAATGCAATAAACGCATTACATGAAATATATATTTCATGTCATGATACTTGTAATACATGTGGGAAGATTGTAATTATTATTTATTACTTTATATACATATTTATTATTTCTTATTCCTTAATAAAACTTTATAAACGCATTTTATAAGTTATTGTGTCATTTTTCATGAGCCGTACATACCCCCTCCCTCCCCCTATGAGTAGCCACATATCCCACCCCTATGGGAAATACGCAAAAATGCAAGGGTTTAAAAAAGTTCATTTTTTAATACGAAATATAATATTGCAGATTTCTAATATTTTTTTCATAATAGTAGACAGTACAAAGTTTTTACTGACATAATTCGTTTACTTTATACATAATAAATAATACTTAATAAATTAAGTTTTTGATAGGTATGACGTATATACTGAAGTTCTACCCTAATTCAGTATAATGGAATACTTATTGAAATTTGGTCTCAATTAATCAACCCTCTAAAACAAGTCAATGAGAATTCGTGTTGTGAAATATAATTTTAATTATTCTGACACGCTGTGTGGTAAATTCGAGAGAAGAAGATAAAGGATTCTCTCTCTTACAATTATAGAATCTCTATTTTGTTCCGAATGACTCTGATGATAATTGATCCATTAGTGTTGTCCTGCCATTTCGTGCCGCAAAGCCTGCAAGCCTTTAATCGTGTCACAGAACACTATTCTAAATTATATATTACAGTGATTTGTCTATATGTGAGAGAAGAGATATCGTTCCAAGTTCTAAACATTCTAAACATTATTCTTCATTTCTATTAGTCTTTCAATTATGTACTTTATTACAACGATTTTATTTAAAGGTATATTCTTTTTTACTTTTATTTTTATGAATATAACTAATTTATAACCTTAATTACTATTATTTATATTATGACATTTTTCATTAATTATTGTGGTATTTCAATTCCATAAAAAATAACTAGCCACTTTCTTTATATTAATGCTAAATAGTGTTCTGGAGAAACAAGAAATATTTTATTACGCATTTATTGTGAGAAATGATTGTTAATTTGACAATTGATTTATATCTTGCAATACATTTACCGTTAATAAGTATCGTGTCGTCGCACCTGGTATACAGTTTCCATTCAAGGAAGTCGAAATTAAAGACAAGACGGACGCGAGAGTATTAACGAGTCTTGATCATCATGATATTCGATGGTGGATGTAATTGCAATGAGAGTCGATTTGTGGTTCGCGTCGATTGACGAGCGAAAGCGTGCGTAAATTTGCGGTTGCTATATATATATATATATATATATATATATATATATTATACTTCATTCATAAAGAACACGTTGAAATGAAACCAACATTCGCTCTCTTATACATCGTATCATACTTGTTTAAAGTTACACATATGGTAATCATCGTTGGCGGCATGATTACGTGATCTGTGATTATTATTTGCCATGTAGTGCGTTTAAAAGAAAATCAAACATGCACGTCTGGATCCTTTCGATTTTAACTCTTAATACACATGATGATTTTCCGGCTCTTTACTACACACGATGGGTCTTCGTATTTTGGATTAATTTTTCTCTTTAATAAATATACAAAAATTATTAAGAAAAAAAACCTATTAAAAATTATCATTAATTTTTTATATACTTTAAAAAGTATATTTTAAGTATATTTTAATATCTTTAAAAAGTATTTGTAAGGTTATGTATTTAAAAAATTGTACATAAATGTTATAATATAAATGTACTTGATATTCCTAGTTTTTGGGACAAAAGAAATATGCAGAACAACCAAACAATGAAATAAATATGAAAATCTTTAATTTTTATACATTTTCAAGATGATTCTCTTTTTCGTTGCTTATTATTCTTACAATAGATCTATTATTTTTGATGAGACATTAAATAAATTGCAACACGGTCTTTTCGTGACGTGTAGTGTTTAGAACTACTATTCACGACCTATGTTGCGACTATTTCGCCTTCACCCTTTTCAAGCCCTTTCTATCTCGCTAATTTTCTGCAAAGAGCAATTTTGTTTCCAGGCGGCCATTACGATTGCTATAATAGCGCTCATCAGACCCCGCCGCCTATCACCTTTACCTTCATCTTGTCTAATTACAGGTCGCGTTTATTGTTTCAGGAGGAGAGCGAGCTCTCGAGCAAGCGGTGGGCCAGTGCGCCCCGCCGCCCGGACAGCCCCTGCGTCCTGGGGGCACCGACGTCTAGGGAGGTAAGTCAAAGTCACTTTTACCCTGAATTCAGTTTTGATGTTCCTGAAATTAACGTCGAAACTAGACACATTTGTTTTTTAGAGACAACATATCAGCAGATGCCAATTTGTTCTATTTAATGTTGTAATATTTAGGCATCGTAACATTTATGCATTTATATCCGCTGCGTTCTGTCAATTCTTTTATTTTTTTCCTAACGTTATTATTTAAAAAAAATTATTTGTTTTGTATTGACATATTATACTTTGATACAGATACATGTACGGTATTTATTAAAAGATTATCAATTAATATAGCATCATAAAAATTACATAAAAATTGTATAATTATTCTAAGAGAATGATCTTACTAAGTATTTCAAAATTTAATTAATGTATTTAAAAACAATTTTGTCGGGCCATCAAAATAATTGTAATATTCCGAGAAAAATTTCTGGTTAAAAATGAACGAACCAGAAAATTCTGTTTATACATCAATCAGTCCTACATATTACATAATATTGTTTTATATATTTTTTTAAGATTTTATATTTATAATATAATATGATATAATATATAGTGTATGATATAATTATTTCGATGGTTTAACGAATTAATTTTCAGATTTATATCTAGCTAAAATTTTAAATATTTAACGTTAACTTTCTTTTTGGATATGTTCATTTTTTTTAGTATATATTTTTAGCAATGCTAATCTGATCGATCCAGACTTTATATTCGAAACAACTTGCTGACGATTAATTAAGAATTTCTTCTCGATACGTCACGCCGTATGGCAGATACGTCCGATAACAGAGACATTCGCGTACAGTTACCCGCAAGGTACGTCATCCTCGCGCGATCAGGTGTCGTTGCTCTTAACGGACATTAAAATTTCCGCGCGATTATTCATGCCGATAAAATCTCGCCTCGGTCGGACGATGCACGTATAATAACGACCGTTTCGTCGCTTCAAGCGCTTCGTTCGTGAAACACCTCGCGGAAATCGTCGCATCGTGGACGTCGGTCGTACGACTTTCGCGAATACATGGCGCCACCCACAGGTTCTCTATGATGGGTGTGACTTCATGTTGGCATTCGCGATGCACATTAAGCTGCACGAGAGGACAGGAACGTCGCCGCTGCCTCTTGCGAGTATAGATACAAGTACGCTTATAGATACTCGTTCTCTTTTAAGCTTTACGACGCCATCGGCGACTCGCAAATGTGCAAATCTCGGCGGTAAAAGAGAATTCTGTGATTGAAATCGGCTACCGTTTTGCTTGAAATAATTTATTAGGAGAAACAAAAAAGTATGCGATTTATGTTTATTATATTATAATATAAAAATTCTCGTACAAATAGATAGAAATGTTCCAATTTATATAAAAAATCTGAGAAATCTTTTAAAAAGTTATAAAATTATTCAAGAGCTCTGAAAATTCAGAAATACAAAAATTCCGAAAAATTAGAGAAAAATATTTTACCAGGGATCTTAAATGTAATACAAAATTACTGAAATATTTAGGATCGCTCAGTAATTTCAAAAGTAAGTTTTCGATCAATATTTCCTTATTTACTCCGCGTTTTATATACCTATTTGTAAATTTATATGTAAGTCTAATTATATGGATATTAGTGGCCAACGCGATCTGGTTTTGATTCTATTCTCAAATACATCGCGTTCATATAATTCGTCGTTAGGGCAACGTAGGTACGTACGCGCCGTCGTTCTATGAAGCAATACCTTGGTAATAAAACGCTCTCTCGCTCGTGTCCGTGACATGAAATATCGTGGATCCTTTCACGAAACGAAAATAGAGAATCGTCAGCACGCTCTGGGGAACGTATTCAAGATCTTCCAATTGCGTTCCGCGCGATCCGGCTGTTACGGTGACTGAGAGACGCGATAATGCAACGTTGAAGGACATGGTCGACGAATGTCATTCGTCGCATCAAGTTATAAACTATGTCATTTCAAGCCAATAACTATAGATGCCTCGGAGCAGTCGAAGTTGTGTAAATGGTTGCAGTAATTTTGTACAATTAGTTTAAGTAACATAAAATGATGACAATTAATTAAGATATATAATTATTCACATCCAAAAAATACATATTGCAAATACTACTTGTTTCAAGTATTTCAAAAACTTTATATAACCACGAATTTATCATAAATTCATCAAGCATTATTTTGAATGCTAGTAAATTTAATACTTCAATTATAATATGAAATTGGACCGATGAGAATAAATCTAACTAAGTAAGAGGAATGCTGTTTGAAATTGGATCTTAATGTTTAAATATTTCGGTGTTAGTTTATATACATACCTGATTTTGCATATTGCGTACCGAAATCTGTTTGTCTTGAGACATAATTTAATAATATTGATGCTATAATAAGCATCTGATATATATTATATACATATATGTATTAGCATATAATATTTAATCAAGATTATTAAAATAAAATTAATTCCATTTTTTTATTATATGTATAAGATCATCTTTTCGATCAATTTTATAATATTCTTCAAAAGAAAATTCTGGTTTTTACAAAATTCTTGTTTTAATGAGTTTTACTAAATTTTTATTAAAATTTGTAATAAGTAAACACTGAGAGAAAAATGCCAAAGTATTGCAAGGCAAATGTTATTTATGACGTTTTCTTCGAGATTTATTAGTTGAAAAAATTTGTGTTGTTGAAATATATCTCATTAATTGTAAAAAAATAAAATAGATGGCTTATTAGGAATAAAATACTAGGAATAAAATTTTATTTTTGTATTTAAATAAAGATTTATTTTAGTGAAATTAATATATTTCTCGCAAATAAATTATTTTTTTCTCAATATACTATTTTTTTTCTCGGTCACAAAATACACTGAGAAAAAAATAATTTATTTGCGAGAGAATATATTGATTTCACTAAAATAAATATTTATTTAAATAAAAAAATTTTATAATCTTATAACCCGACTTGAAAGAAAAAAATAAATTGAATAATTACTTTTCTTAGCAACAAAATGATATTTTTCTGTGTGTATAATTAATTTAAATGACATAAACCTGAATACAAGAATTTTTGCCATGAGTTAAAAAGAGATATATTTATAAATAATATTAGGTGAAATATCTCCTTGTATTTCTAAAAAATGAAGAATTATCAGTTAATATGACGAGCACATGAAGAAAGGAGAGAAAATTTTAATCCCGCGTCTACAGACTGCAGAAATGTCCGAAGCCGATCTCGCGACGCGAGCGACGCGTACCATCTGTTACGACAGCATTTCCGGTGTCGATGCGCCTCGCGGCTGGCACGTGTCAAATCACGCGAGAGCAACGTGAAATCACAATTTGACTTGCAAGTTTTTGTAAGTCCGGTCGCAGATTGGTCACGGAATCTTATACTTTAGAAAGCATTTACTCGATACACAATTACTCGTTAACGATAATGTCAACACATCGCTTCGTACCGCATAATTTTGCGCTTAAGGCGCACAATAAAAAAAAACCGTTGTTTCACGTTTACCTTTATTCGCCCGAGGATGGTGAATTGACCGGATCCACGCTCGTGTGTGTCTCCTAAAGAGAATCGCGCGATCGGCTGCTGTGCAGCCGATGCATCTCGCGAGGGGAGAGGGGAGGAGGCAGGAGGGGGACAGGACATTAGCGTTGGGTGCATTCGCGCGAGGCACCGGTTGCATCGGGTACGGTTCAATTCCGTTACGCGGACGTAAACCGCCGTAGGCTTCCCACGCCAATTAAACATGACTCATTAACGGGCAGGGGAACAGTCGGTAGCCCGGGATCGATGCTTGGTCGAAGAGACGGCGAGTACAGCCGGGGGAGCCCTTCCTATAACTCTCTGTCGCGGCAGTGCAATCGGAACTAATCTCTCGACCGTCCTCTTCTCCACTGGTTGTTGCAATGCGATATTACGGCGCGGATAAATCGGTAATCGCGTCAGAGCGACGCGTCACAACGAAATATTTATAGTCGCGAGCTTGCGATCATTTCGCTCGAATCCCTTCGTATCCCCGCGGAACGCGAGCGCTATTCTGACATCTAAATTTTAATCCGTTCTTCGTTTTTCGCTGGAATGTAACTTCGTAATGGATAACACAATTGTTGTTGCTGTTGAACTCTTCGGAGCTGACGATGGGTATATTAAATTTATTTAATTATAGAAGAAGAATTTTTCTTTATTACCTTCAGCATTACAGGTTAAGAAGGAGACATGGTTCACAATTTTATTCTTATCCTCATATCATTCATCCTTTATGTTGACTATTTTTAAATCTAATTGCTACACTATAAAAAGAGTTTGCATGATTGCATTGGAATTCTAATTGAAAATGGATAAATTATAATTTTCCGGAAGAATCTTTTTCTTATTTTTTTTTATCTGCAATAAATCTATAATAACACATTTTATACTTCTCCTGATCGACTCAATTATATAAATGTCTCTTTGTTATAAATGTCAAACAATTTAATTTTTTTAATGTTACATCTGCAAAAATTTGGATTACTCTAATTAAAAGTATACTTGATATTTTTTTTTTTTATAAAAGTTTATTATTTTGGTTTTCTGAAATTAATTAATTTTATGACACTAGAACCGTCGAAGGTGCTAAATTGTAATTTCTTCTATTCTTCGGTGAGAATTATTTGATTTTGATATTATTTGTATATCATTAGAATTTCTATTATATTCATATATTTTCAATATTCTGTATTTCATACAAAAAAAAAAGAAAGTAAAATGATAGTGAAGTCAAAATGGCCTCATCGGTGGTAATGTTAATTACAGATTTTGGCGTCAGTTTCGGAAAGTTAATAGTAACGTGACTGAATGTGATTAAACGATTCAGTTATATCTATGCTGATTTCATACGAAAGCGAAATATTTAGTATCAAGGATTTCTATAGGCTTTCTCTTTTTTTTTCATATTATTTTATTTAGCACATTCTCATTTTTTATTTATCTGCCTTTCGGAATTTCAATCAATGTGATT